CTACGCACAACTACGCACTGATGATGTCACCTCGATTGGTGATGAAACGTTTGCAACCAAATTGCCCAGCTCAGCGAACAAGCCAACGGTCATTGGAAGAGCATCAAATAGACCAACTGTTGATGCCTAAATTTTAAGACCATATAAGCTGTAGTGGTAGCATTAAAGAGATAAGTGGATACCTTAGTTCGACAAGTACTTGCTTTTGCTCTTCACTACCTCCTAATATTTATTATCGATTATCGTCATTTCTAAACTGTGTATTAGCTAGCCTAGTTGGATCCACAATCTGTGTTCAACTGAGAAAAATATGGCACAAATACTAACATGTATATGTGTGACACGCTAGTTCGAACCCAGTTGCCACTAAGACATTGATTCCGGACTTACACACGGTGCTTTTTCCGATGTATTCTGTCGTCCGTTGAAATATTCGGTAAGCAATAAAAAAACTACTCCTATACTAATGCTGTTGATGTTGGGAAAAGAGATATACTACAGTCGGATGAAAGGATATTCGACTGCAAATAAATGGGTACCTGATACGCAGTACTGCGGCGCCCATGCGAGTCACTAAATATGAAGTCTATAACGTGTTTCAGAGTAAACGAATAAATGCGCCTTTGGCATATTAAAGCTGCGCAAGATACACGAAGGTTGTAATACCACACAGTACCTACAAAAGCCCAGAATAGTGCACTGCAATTTAGAGATAGGATTGGTGTACATTGGTTTTGCAACCATTATTCACATTCTATTGTAACATATGCGGCCAAATGCGATGCAGTAAAATACGCAGCGAAACACAGCGAAACTAAAAACAGGAATTTCAATGAATTTAAATTAGTCTCTTATTCGTAATGCAGGACTCATAGAGTTGCTGAAAATCCTTCGACAGATCACGACCGGTTTCACTCTTCATAGGGCTCATCACGTAGGCACAGTCTCCGAGTTTTCTTCAACCTCATGTTCTAATTGAAACCAAATTGCACGAAATTAGCGAACTACACTCATTTGCAAACTAATTTGGTTTTGCGAGAGACTCACCTGGAACCCAGCTGAATCCCTCGTGATGTTTCTGGGCAACTGAATTCGCTGCATCAGGCTGCCTCATGTTTCAGTCGCTACGATATTTGAGATATCGCGATACATGTATATTCGTAATGCACTGTTCATAAGGTTGCTGACAGCCCACGACCGGTTTAGTCTTTCTTAGGGGTCATCAGGCAGGCACAGTCCCCGAGTTTTTCGTCAAATTTATGGCTTTCAGTCTGGAAACATCACAAGCGAGAGATTCGACTGGGTTTCAGGTGAATCTCTCGCAAAATCAAATTCTCAAATGAGTGTTTCGCTAACTTATTCTCCTATCTTCCGATGTGTGCATTATGATAAGTACATTGTTTCTTTAGCAATTACAAACCCATGTGTTCACTTGAGGTGCGAACCACGTATCGAAGGCCCATTTTGGTATGACCCCAGTGTACACCATAGACTATATATTACCCGAAAAAAGCATATCACATTTAACTATCGCCGTATCAAGGGACAAGATTGATCACTTTAATGCGTGTGTTTCATGGTGTCAGGTAGGATCATATTAGGTGAACTCATTCTCATTGTGTACTTAAATATGAAACCGCTGATAATTAGAGACCGAAGGAAGATATTAGCGGAAGACTGCCACAGCTGAGAAGTTCTAATGTAGCTGTCTTTCTTGGACAGTTCGAAACCAATTGGTGGGTTTCTTTCATGCTGATAAAGCGAGGATTTTATGCTTTGCAAACCCAGTGAACCTCGATCGGACCATTGTTTGCTGGCAGTGTTCCCTTCAAGAACTTCCCATCTCCTCTTAATATGTCTGACGCGCATCTTTTCCTTGCCCAACATAATAAAAGTTTAAACGAGTATCCACTTATAGGCTATCGGTATGAGACGAAATATCTGTCAATACTGACTAATCTGTTCTTCTTCCTGTCTTGTCTACCGTATTTTAATTCCACGAATGTCGTGGTGATAACCATTTTAAGAGGTTCGGGTGTGTTAAATAGTATCTCTTTTCAGTTCATTGTTTTTTTCATCAAGATGGCACCTTCTGTATCGAAGCCGTTGAGTTGCGTTTCATGGAGTCTGCCGACATTGGACAACAGGAAATTGTTTATATATTTTGGACACTGGCTGACTGCTGGTTTGTAACTTTGGCCAATCACAGTTGAGTTCAGAGTCAAGATAAACAATCGGGCAAAAACATATAAGCATCTCAAGGATGAAGTCGTGGATTAGAAAGATGTGGATGCTGCAAGGCCTGTTACTTTGTTTGCTGGCTGTCAGCGCGATCATCTCAAAACCATATTTAGGTGAGCCCTTGGAGCTCACGGATGATGCGTTGGGAAGCTATCGAATAGCCAACCTAACAAGATTGGCTGTGGAACGATTTAACCGGCAAAGTGATGAGTTTTATTGGTATGTTCAGCGCCAAGTTTTCGGAGGACGCAAATGGGTTAGACGTTTTGTCGTATAAATACTGATATTAAATTTATCTAGCTGTTCAAGGGAGCGGTTTACGAACTGAATGTAGTACTCCAACCAAGTGGATGCTCGAGAACTGCAGTTTTGCTAAATCTTGCGGAAGCAGAAACTTGTACTTCAAGAGGAAACGCGGTAAGTATATCAAATACTTTTGTAGCGCTCTGTTCGCTAAGTCGCAAAATCACCGTGAGTAACATTCGCTTAATAGTCATAAATCGATAGCCCTCTCATTATACTGTCTGATCTCTGCACAGAATCAAAATATGTCTTAAAGCATTACGGAAAAATGAACCTCATACACAGATATCGCATACAGAAACAGTCTGGGTCACTTTTGATGGGCGCCGTATGTGACTTTGCATGGTGGGACTCACATGACTGGACAGAGGGAGTTCTCTTCAATGGCATACTTATAATCAGAAAAATTCGACAACAATTCAACAATAACGGAGATATTACTGAAAGAGTTATTCTGAAAAGATTGAGGTGCTTCTTGTTGGAGGGATGGGTCTTACAGGGTATGATAAAATTATAGTCGGTGAAAGTTCAAGGACAAACAGTCGTCTGTAATAATCTTTTTTTCTAATGGACTCTCTAAGAATGCATTTTACGAGACACAATTTCATTCAAAATATGTCTTTGTAGATCTTGTAATTTGCTTTCATACGGGCAGAGTCAAGGAAAATACACTTATGTTTGCAGCTCATTACCAAAATAACACACAACGACAGTTGTCTACTATCTGCTTGAAGAGAGTAGTCGCAACACCAGTAGATTGCATTACCAGACTGGTGAGGACGACAAAATTTTTCTAGATGTGTCTATGGCAAGACAAATTTTCTAGGCTCCATATGTGCGGGCTTCATATGTACAGAATCAATATCGCACGTAAAGGGTGTCAAAGGATCAACAGACTTGAAATTTTGTGGTTTTGCGGGGTAGGTATGTTTGTTCATAGCCACATCACTCTCGTTTGAACGGCCGTATTCTTGTTCTGGTGTGGACTCACCGGAATAATTACGCCAGAACAGGAACACGGCCGTTCAAACGAGAGTGGTGTGGCTATGATCAACAGACCCTCAGAATTCTCTGTCCAGGCTTGCAACATTGTGAGCTACGTACATAAATGAATGAATACAATTTGGGGAACTGAAAGCAAAAGGGGCAAAGAGGATACGCTAACGGACGTTGATCCATATAGAACTTATGCACTGCTACTACGCTGTAATTCACCATAGCTCTGCCTCATGAGTCAACGCATGATGCTTTTTGGTGCCGCAGTGAGACTCAACTATGAGGTTCACAAGAAATCAAAGTCAAAGCCACTGTTGTATCGTGGGTGGCCGTCTATTGGTTACGTCTGCACTGAGCCTGCCAGACTACGCGATAAGAAGACAGGGAGCTCTGGACACGGCTGTATTGTCAGGACAGAACACACATAGCTTCTGCGTAAATATATAGGATTACCAAATGGCCAGATATGGTCGTTAACTTGTTCGTTCTGTACAGCCAAGGGCGGTATTCCGGTTGTCAACCCTTTCAGCCCCACTCCACTGCTCTTATTTTGCTAAGCCGTGTTCGGTGAGCTCCGCCAACGCACCTGCTATCGGAAGCGCGTCGTACCGATGGTGACCTTGGGGATGCGTCGATTTCTGCAAGTGTGCTTTTTTCATGACTGGCCCTGTCCTTAGAGCCACGTATCCCTGACCCACTTGCAATCCTTCATGCAGTACCCAGCTAGTTGTTGGGATTTTCTTGAAGGAAATTGCTCATAAGGCTGGTGTAAGCCATGTAACAGCCAATGGCCGGTTTTGTCCCACCACCATTCTCCGATTTGTCGTTTACCAAATGCTTCACTTGAATCCAACTTGGATGCAGTCTATTCTGCACATCGATTTGGCCTTAGCGGGAGAATCGGCAGAATCCCATAACTAAATTTTCGTTGAAATGCACCTTCAAAGAATTACCTTCCCCACAATCGGTCAGCCGATTGGCAAAGGCATTGCAGAATTGGAAACCATGGGCATAGTTCCACAGGAAGCAAAGAGAAAACCAATTTCCCGATAGATAATAAGCTAACTTACGATTGATAACCAGCACAGACGCCTGGGGTTTCCTGAATCCTTGCAGAAAATCAAGGATACGATCCGCGTTTTGGTGAGTTCAACTGTAAAAATCAGAATCCGACAAGCGTCATAACCGAATATTAGGCCGAATCAACACTCAAAGCTACTTTCTGACTGACTCAGAAATTTTTATCACGTTGCGAACTTGTGGCTTCTAATAGTACTGAGAAGATGAAGAAAGAAGCCAGACGAAGATCACCAGTTAGATGAGAATTAATGTATTCCTAAAACTCAGCATCACCTTGGACTGAAATGTACACTATCTTCCCCAATATGATAACCACCGAATTAATAGTACAAGAACGTCAGATGAATTGTGAGCTACGCTTTAGATTTACGGAGGAATCTTGCAAGGCTTATGCATCACTTTGAAACGAGCCATCACTTTGAACGAGCCAACGACCACCATCTACGATACCTGAGCTACCAACATTTTCATCTATAGAAGATCAGATTTTTCTTGGAGGCTGTATAGTGCCCAATGAGATACGCTTCAAAGAGGATGGATGTTACACGTTACTCTTCAAAACCCGAGGCTAAACACTAATCCCAATGTTCTCATGGTTTTTACGGAAACTCCGTGTTTTATTCGGATAATGCTCCACTAATAAAAGACTTCATAAAACACAAAAAACGTTTTAACATCGGAAAACTAGGACAAAACTCAACAGGAATCACAGTTATCAATCGGATACTGGGGACAACCATGATTCAGAGGCTTGCATGAGTCTCTTCCACATTAAATCCTTCGTGTTATTTTGTAATTGACACTGGAGATCCTGCACAAATTACCAAGAGCACTACTAAATTTCGTGAGTGGATCATTAGTCCTTGGTATAGGTATTGTTATTGAATCTAAAACGAGTTTGTGCATTTATGAATATATTAGCAGCCCAAAGTTTTCTACATTCAAAGTTTGTCGAAAGATTTCTTTCCAACTTCTACGTGACATGCGGGGACAGACGGTTGTCTACAAATTAAGTTGGTGTTAACGTGGAGAACCAGTTGAAGTTCAATGAACATCTCAACATTCCCTGCATCTTTCACTGCATTTGAGAATGCTTTGAATCAATAGATGAAGGATAAGTATGTGGTATTTGTGCGTTCATCCATTGATCAAAGCATCAGCGCTTTTTGCGTTACGAATGGATGTACTACAAATGCAACAAGCAACCTCCAAGACAAACGGAAATTCGGGGAATCCAAAGAAGCTAGAAAGCTGGGTGTGTTCTCTAATGAAAAGCAGCACGTGGAGCACCAGCTGTTCAGTGCGGTTTTGTCTACGGAAGCAAAGGGATCACCTATCAGTCACCTCTTATTTTCTTGAACACAAAGATTTTGTGCGATCGGTTGCCGGTTAATTGACGGTTAACCGAGGATGAGTGTGGCACCTGCAGGGCCCTTCTGAAATATGACATGCCATCGTGTGAAGTGCAGCAGTTTGTGGTAGACGATTCCGGCAAGATCCTTACAACTGAGGATATTTACAGCTACTACCGGAAACGTCGACCGCTCCGTTAAGTAGGTGCTGCATAGTTGAAGTTTATTTTGGCAGATGATATGCCTTCGGTCCTGGCAAAACTTCGGGAGACCGGACGTGGGTTTGTGTGGCAGTCACAGGAAGGTCACTATAGCCATATATGCTTATCCCGATGGCAGCACATGACATTGTTCCGGATGAAGTGAATGTAGACGGAACGCACGCAACAAACCACTTTGGTAAGTTTTTTTAAAGCACCTAATATTCAGCCTGTAGATACAAGCTGTATACCTTCTTGATAAAGGACGGTATGGGTACCGAGCGTCCGTTGATGTATGCCTTCGTGGAGAGCGAACAGTTTGCTCCTATGCGTAAATTGTTTGACTCACGCAAAGAAAATTATGGGCAATTATCATCCAGTTAAGGCTTTCGTTATTGACAAGTTGGCGGCGCAAAGGCGGGCGGAAAGACCCATGTTCGGCTGCGACGCAATGCTTTGCTTAAGGAAGCACTATGTATCATTTGATATCCATGTCATGGTCGTGGACACACTCTGCGAACAGCCGGCACATATTCCACCGTATGGCTCACCTGAACAACACCGTACAGTAGGCGTTTTGTTTATCGCATTACAAACACACAGATTCCGGCAATATCTCCAGCGTTTGCGCCGCACGGACCTACGGTTTGTCTCTTATCTTAGGGCCCGAAAATGGGCCGTACACGCACAGTCCGGAATGGTTCACTTTGGAAGTAGGTCCCATGTGGCCAGTTGATTAGGCATCTGGTACCCCTAGCCGCATGTTAGTCGTGTGTGTCAGCTAGGTTCTTTCGGCTGTCAGCTATGATCAACCTAGGTTTCATGTGGCTGATTGATCAACGTCATGGTCTTCCCGGCATAATTCGCAAGCTACAACGGAATACTGCTGTTTAACAACAAACTTGTGCGATTTTTCACCGATAATGGACGCAGTGTGTGCAATTTTAACTGGTAACAGCAATTATTGAGCAAAAACTGTCTACAGAAACGCCACCTCCGCATGCAGATCCTAGAATTTTCATGGAATTATTTCAACTGTAAAACCAGTCACCTTTTTCCGCAATTCCCGATTTCGTATCACATTAGGCAACCTATTCACAGTCAGTGTTGTTTATGATGACTTTGAAAATTCGCTCACTTAAACCAATCACCTCGGTAGATAATTTGTATAATAGATCACTATACATAGATATTCCACACTATGAAGTGGCAACCCTGAGAATGCCGTAACTTTCGACAAATTAAATCGATTCAGCGCATACTGAGCGGCCTCATATATGGTTTCACCAGGGCTATATTGCTCCAACTGTCGTCCGTGCTGTCAG